TTCAGCGAAGGTTGGGCAGTGAGCTGCACGCCCGCCCTCCTGCTCACTTCTAATTAAGTGATTTGAGGTGACAGAGCGTGCCGTGCTGGGCCCGTGCCACACGCCGAGAAGGAGGGGCTGAGCCCTGTAACGCGTGCGAACCCCGTCAGAGCTGATTGCCGCTGCAGAGGGGAAGGAAAACATCAAAATGAAAGCAATTAAATCAAAGGGCTCACCTGGCTGAGTAAACAACAGAGCCATAATTGAAGCTGCTAAAGAAGGGCCCTTTTCCAAGCACGTGTTACAAAAGCTCAAGAAGAATTCAGTGCACGAAACGATGCAAACTCTCCGGTGCTTTTGCCACGCAGAGATATGGGGCCGCGGGCAAGATGGGAGCACAGCACGTGTGTGCTCCACTGTCTCATCCAGCAAACCCTGCCGGGCTCTCACTGCGGCCCCTGAGTGCCTGAGAAGGGCTCCCAGACACCGCGTCCTCCCCTCCCCGGGTACCTGCTGGGGTGAGCACATGCCTGTCCTCTCCAGGCAAAGCCCCAGGGCTTCAGGCCATGCTCGGGATATTCCTGGCCACAGCACTAATGACATTTGTGAGCGCAACAGTGCTGGAACCAGGCTATTGTGAAATTAAAACGAAGCCAGGCCCTCATTAGTATGGCCCCACACCTAACCTGTCTCCCTTACCCATCTGCCCGTTGTAGCATCCTCCTACCAGGACGTGCGAGTCTTTGGGGTTGTATTCCAGGCTCACGAGAGGCGACGATGGCTTGAGAACCAGCTCTGGCTTGTTGGGGTTTTCTGCCAAGAAGGGACGAGCAAAGAGCAAAGTGCAAAGGCCTCTAAACCAGCCCCCCAATACTTCATTTCATTCCTCCCCACACGGCTCCTGCCACGCTGGCGCTTGTCCAGGTGGGCTGGATGAGGTGGCCTTGTCACCAGGAGCTCTCGCCTCTGGCAGGGAAGGGAGCTGACCTGTCCTCCTCACCTGCCAGCCTGGGGACAGCGCCCTGGTACTCCAACGCTCGGTAACTCTGACCCCTCTTCTTTGTGTTTTTCACCTCAAAATACAACAGGTCTGAGAGAATCTTTGACAGAACAGGGCAATTCTCAGCCTGAGTTTCTGCTGCTTCTTTCTTAACCGAGCACAAGGGAACCAGATAAAGACAAGAACCGCGCAGGAGCAGTGTGGCTCAGCTGCCTGTTGTGGTCGCGGATGCTCTAGCTCATGAAGTCATGTTGTGGGATTTTAGCGGTTATTTTCCACCTGCTGGCCTGCTTTCAGGTCCCATTTCTCCCCCTCTCTGCATTGATCCGTGGGCAAAGCAGAAACCGAACCCCTGCTCAGCCCCCTCCAGAGCCCCGTGAGGCTTCATTTCACTCTTTGAAGACGCAAAGTGCTTCCGCAGCGGCAGCGTTATTGACCGGTGAGTTTTCCCTTCCCCTTACCAAGATCCCAGATGTACGAGTCAAAGCTCATGTCTTTCACGTTTTGCTGGAACTCCAGGCTGGAATAAGCCACCGCCAGCTTCTTACATGCGTTGGGGTGCCAGGAGAGACGCGTGGCTGTCCTCTTGGTTAGGTTTGGATCCCTTTTGGACAAAAGGACATCAAAGAAAGATGTTAGTTTGCCAACAGCTTTGTCATGCCCTGGGGTGACTTTCTCCCAAAGGAAACTGTGGGAATTACAACTAAAACAAGCTGCAGCCCTTGAGCACTGAGTGCAGGAAATGGTTCTCTTGGGGGTTGCGCTGGGGGAAAAGAGTTGATGGTTTAATAAAGTCTTTCCTGCTACGCATTTCTAAGAATCCAATTATGTTACTGGATCTGACTTCTAGAAATGACCTAAGAGCTCCTGACATTCAAAAATAATATCTGAGGCACCGAAAAGAAATAAATTAAAAAACAAACCCTGTCCTGTTAGAAGATGGTCAGGCTATGCCTGTCCTTGGACCATGGTACCTCTGTCCAAAGTGCCTGGGCAGGGAGGGAGAGATGGAGCTATGGAGCAGGGGGGAGAGCAGCAGGTCTCTCCCTCCATAAACTGCTCCAACACTACCCTAAAACCACTGAGTTTTCCACCTCCTTTCCCAGCTCAACATGCAGCAGCCCACCATGGATCCGGAGCGCCCGGCAAGCGCAGCCGGTTCTGCTACCTGATGACATTGACGGCTTTTGCAGAGGGGGGCTCGTCTTCCGCCTCCGCCACCTCCTCCTCTTCGAAGTACTCCTCGTAGATGTCGATGGCGTTGTTCTGCCTGACGCAGTGCTCC